AATCGATGCTTGTTCTAACTTATGTATTAATATTATGCCAGATTTATGATACAGTATGTTCTGTGTGTACATACAGACTGTTGGAGGCCCTCGTGCAGTCATGTGAACCCATGATCACATGGGTTCTTCCAGATCAAAGACTTGTATCTTCAGAAGGTGGAAGGGGCTAGGCTGCTCTGTGGGGTCTCCTTTATTAGAGCACTAATCCCATTCATGAGGGCTCCCCCCTCGTTATCCAAAACCTCCCCAAAGCCTGATACCATTACATTGGGCATTAGGATTCCAACCTGTGAATTTGGGGAGGACACAAACATTCAAACCACAGCAGAGGGGGAGAAAAGTACAGTGACCCATCTCTATAACAGTGTTTCCCAAACTCCAAAGATCCTCTCGTCCCAAGTGAAAAAGCTTATGGAAGGAAACATGGCACTCTGTAAGTCCCGAGCTGGGAGAGTCATAATATCTATTAGCATGTTAAAGGTTGCGAGAAGCTACAGCAAAGAAACCTGTTCAGTACATTTTTTCTTACCTTTATTATACCTATTATTCTTGCAGAATTATATTCCTTTGCATATCCATTTTGGAAATGGTATACATATTTAAGAAAAGGTAACCTCGCCTTAGGCCAAATGCAAGTGAACGTTTCTTCCGGAATGGTGGAAGACGCCTGGTGGTGCGATGTGATGATACTGCCTCTTAGATTCAGGCAAGCCGGGGTCCAGGTCCTGGGCCTTCCACCCTCTGGCCAGGTTCCCTGACCTCCGAGTCCCAGTGTGCTCACCTGTGAGAGAGGAAGAATGATGCCCCTCTCCTAAGGGCATTTTCAGGATTAAACGTGATAAGGACATGGTCCTCAGTCAGTACTAATAGGTGTGAGTTCCCTCCTCCCCACCCCGGAATCCACTGTTGCACCTCCTTCTATAGTAACGTGGCTGGGCCTCTGTTTATGAACACCCATACTTAGACCAAAACAAGTTACTGAAGGATCCCTCCATTTAAGAAAAGCTTCATTTCAGAATCCTTCCAAGGCCAGGCTATCAGATAGCAAGTTCTTGCATTTTCAATGTGAATCCACTTCTAAAATCTTGATATCCAGATGCCTGTTTCAAGAATGTGTCTCTTACCCAAAGCAAAGAATCCTGTTTCTCTAAAACTTAGAGCCCAAAAGATAGGGAAATTCACTGTCTAAATCACAGCCACCTTTGCCTGCTGTGGGCCATCCCAGGCCACAGCACCAAGGTGGCCCCTTCCCCTCATTTCCTGGGCCAGTGTTAATGCTCAGACACTGTGGAAACAAATTTCAGAGTTTAATTTAGAAGTGTGTGCACTAAAGCATTGCATTTTTAAAGTAACCTTTGCATTAAGCCCTTGGAATCTAATTACCCAAGTGTTACTGGCCTTCCCAAAATACCCATGTCTGTGCAGATTGAGTGTAAAGTTCAGGAAGTATTAACAAAAGGAATCAGAAGCAAGATCTTGAGCTTAGCCTCTGAAGAATCTCCCTGTTTGCGCCTTGCCTCTCCCTCCTCCTGGGTGTGCCCGCCTGGGAAGGCCAGTGAGTAACCTGCACATTTTTTTTTTTCATCTTGGCCCTTCCCACCCAGACGAGAGGACGGAGTGGCAGACAGGCAGGCAGACGGCGGTGAGTCCTGTTCAAGCATGCACGGAGCATACCTCTACCCGCACCCACATCCTGGACCCCTCACCACCTTCACCCCACCCCACGAGGAGCCAGAGCCCCTGCGAGGGTCCAGAGCGGACCTCCACTCCCAATGGTAAGGGCTGCTAGCAGCGGGGCCACTTCATTCATTTTATTTGCTTTGGTGTTGGCTTTTCTTTTCCATTGTGTTTAGAAGGGAGAGTTTCGGATAGAATCCAAGGTGTTTTGTTTGATTGATTGCTTAGTTCTCAGTCATCCCAAAACAAAGAAATGTCTTTTCCCAGCAGGATTTATTAGAACTTGTAACCTGATAGGCTGGCCTTGAAACAAAACTTAATGTACTAATTACCTCTGGTTAGTGCAACTTACCCTTTTGGCCCTGTAGAGAAAAACAAAACAAAACAAAACAAAACAAAACAAAACTACACTGCTTATCAAATAGATTTTGAAGAAGGAAAATTGCTAAGGATTGTGGTCATTTTATGGCCATCTCTGACTAATTGAAAAGTAGTCCAAATTGCTATCATAGCTTTAAAATAGACCATGATGATGTTTTGCCTCAAAACAAAACAAATCAAGCAAACAGAAAACCCTATTTAAAAGATTTCAGTGTTGAATGAAAGATGCCAGCGGAGGGGTTTGAGTAAAAGAATTCAAAGATAAGTTGGTCTAATTAAATATATATGAACATGAGTGTGTTGAATTTAATCTATGCTACTCTGGGAAGGAAAAAGTCAGATGCTCGATGTGGGATTCGTGTGGGATTTAAGGGAGAAAATGGAGATCTTTGTATAGTGTGCCGAGAATTCTCGGAGAGGAGGGTTGGAGGCACATGGAGGAGGCTGGAAAGCAGGTTTGTTGCACGGGGCCGGTGCCAAGGACTTCTCCTCAATTGCTGTGAGTGAGAGAGTAATTCAGAGTAATCAAGCGCTGCGTTGTTAACAGGCTTCTGATTTCAATATTTATCCTAAACACAAGCTGTTGATTGCACAGGCATGTGAAGGGCTAAAACGGCTGCCTCTGGTTCCTGGCCCAAACTTGAATACCTGGGGAGTTCAAGAAAAATGTTGCAGGAAAGATGAGGCTGTGTGTCACATTACTTGATACTGTACAACGATAATATGTTGGAGACGGTCCTATTCTTTTAACAGCCACAAAGAATTATGTTGTGGTGACATCAGAGTGGGAAGATGCTGAGCTCGGGTTTTAGAGGAGAAGGCAGAGGAAGGCACTCCCATGACACAAGGGAGCGTTTGGCTTGTGCCCAGGTATCTCTGCAAAGGCAGCACAGATTCTACTTGGCAGCACCATGCAAGCAACTTGAGGAGCAACCTACACTTAACATATCTAGGTTTTTAGAGCAGCAGTAAACAGCCACCCTAAAAACTGGTGTACTAAGAAGATTGGGAAGGGCACAGGCGGGGTGCAAATCCCCTTCTTAGACTGCACACCCCTCTTCTAAGTTTCGGGAAAGTACAGCCTATCTTTTGTTGAAATCAGTATATTCTTTTTTTTTTACGATTTGTTTTTTTATTGGGAAATTGGGGGATGGGAACAGCACTGGGGAATCAGGGGAAGGGGAACAGACAAGTTGCTGTCCTTTTGTTCTTCAGTCTAGTTGTGGAGGACATTGCTTCACCGGCCCAAGTTGGCACCATCATTGCACTCTTCCCTGGCGAGGCAGATCAGTCGCCGGCTTCTGGACGGCCGCTCACGGCGGCTGCTGGCTGCTCACGCTGGCTGCTGGCTACACACGGTAGCCCATGGCAACCCACTGCCACAGGGGTTGCAGCCTACGCCGTCGCCAGTGACTCACAGCAGCCCAGCTCCAGGTTGAGCTGTTGTTCAGCATCTTAGCTGCAGAGGGCAGTATCACTGGCCCTCATATGTGGGATCCAAACCGGGGCCCTCTGGTGTCCCAGGCCAGTTCTTAACCAACATGCAACTCGGCCAGCCCAAAATCAGTAAATTCTTCATTGTCGTTATCAATGTTCCTCGGTAATCATGGCAACAGTTTGCTTTCTTATAGCTAATAAATCAAAAGCACAGATTAACTGCAGCCCAACCAGCCAGCTCTTTAGGAGATAATCCAAGAATGCCACTTCTTCCGTTGCCGAGTGAACAGCCTATGAGGGTGGGAGCCATTACGATGACTTTCCTGGAAATGCGAGGTGTAAATTTGTGACTCTTTTCGGTTGTGATTGAAAAAGGAATGGATGCCACTCCAAGCCACCCATGGCATTCACAGCAGTGAAAGCCACCTGGCCGTCACAGGCATTTGCACTTTGGCCACTGTGCATAGCGACATCGCCATCCCTACCAAGCCTGCTTCCCTCCCAGCACCAGTGCCAGGAATAGAATACAGTTCAGGAGAGTGTGGGCAGCATTTCCTACTGGACGGTCTATTCTGCACATCTTCAGAACCTCTTAGGGTTTCTTCATAAACTGCATCGAATGCAGTATCTCATTGAAGTTGGCTTTTCTGAGTCATCTTCATGGAGAATTTAGCATTTCTTTCTAATTTGTTGTGTTTTTAATCTACTCCTGTTGCTTAGTCTTTTAGGCAGTGATCCTGCCTACTAAGCAGACTGAAAACTGGCTATATAAATGGAAACAAAACCGTGCACTTTAGACAACCTTGCACTGAACAGCATATGCTTTCTCCTCCCACTCTCCCTCTCAGGCACTATCCAGCCCTGGCCACTTCCCTGCCATCCTGTGTTTTCTGGTTTCAGAATTCTTTTCTCTACCACCCCCTGCTGTCCCAGACCTCACAAGTAGGTGTTTAGAGAATTTGAAAGGAGCTAACCAAAAGGTCCGGGTGGTTTTTCTAAAACACAGAAAGCAGCACCTTCATTGTAGGGATGCTCTAATAAATATTGCTGCATCCCAAACAGGCTGTCTGTAGGACCTGGGTTAGGGAGAATAGTTGTGGACTCAGCTACTGTCGTCATAGCACATCTCCTAAGTGGTCACCGATGGGGCAAGAGTGAGTGAAGCAGGAAAATGGAGTGAAGACGGCTTCGCCAGCAGCTGGTGGCTCAAATATAATTAGCCTCAGCCTGTAATCTTCAGTGAGCTCCAGTTTCCTGCCCCTCAGGGCTTTTTGCTGGTTTTCTGTGTTATCTTTTTCCTATAATGTTTCTTATGACACACTGGTACTCCTCATGGTAATGCTGTGGGACCCTTTGTAGGATGTCGTCCTGATAATCACTTGGCCACATGTCATGTGTAGGCACTTTGTAAACCAGAAAGAGGCATCACAGAGAGACTTGCCCTGAACAAATCCTCATGAGGTTTGCATGTCGTCCACTCACCTGTCAGAGCCCTAAAGGATAATATAAAATGGTACCGAGAGTAAATCAACTTCTACTTTAGTTTGAGACCAAGATTTTGGGGATTAAGTAAGATGTGTATGTATGGAAACACGAGTGGAAATGAAGAATATCAGATGAAACTTCAAGCTGAGGATTTTATAACTTTTTGAGACCAGGGTGAAAACTTGGGCCTACACTTAGAAATCACATTTGGCTATCCATGATAGTTCTCTCCCATTAAGCTGTGTAATAATAAATCTATTGTAAAAATGGCCCCAGTGATTCTCCTCTTTGAGTCTAGTCGCTTGTGATCTGACTTTGTAGTTCCTCTTATCAAGAGGTAGAGTCTGTTTCGCCATCCCTGAATCTGGGCTGTCCTTGTAACTTCCTTTGGCCAATAGGATGCACAGAAGTAAAGGTGTGCTTGTGTGCCAGTCCCCAGCCTACGTCTCTGTTTTGTTTTTTTTAAAGATTTTATTGGGGAATTGGGGAAGGAGTATGGTGTTGGGGAATTGGGGAAAGGGAACAGCCAAGTTGTTGTCCTTCAATCTTAGTTGTGGAGGGCGCAGCTAGCTCAGCTCCAAGTCCAGTTGCCATCCGGCTGCCTGTCGGCAGCTTGCAGCTGCTCAGCTCAAGGTGCCATGTTCAATCTTGGTTGCCAGTGGGCGCAGCCCACCATCCCATGCAGGAATTGAACCGCTGAGCCATCCTGCCACCTGTTGGCAGCTCAGTGACAGCTTAGCTTGGGTGCAGCTCACTGGCCCATGTGGGAATCGAACCGGCTACCCTGTTGCTCAGAGCTTGTGCTCTTAACCAACTGAGCCACTCGGCCGGCCTCCCAGCCTAGGTCTTAAGGGGCCTCGCACACTTCTGCTTGTTCCCTTGGAATCCAGCCCAGTCATCACATGGACTCCTGAATTCACTTGCTGTGGCCCAGAGACCCTTGTCACCCCACACAGTGATCTTACAGCAGACATCCTAGACCAGCCAGCTGACCTCAGATACATAAGTGGGCCCAGGAGAGATCAGACAAACTGATCCGGAGTCACAGACTCGTGAGCAATAATCAATTCTTATTGTTTTAAGCTACTGAGTCTTGGAATGGTTTGTCATGCTAATAATAACTAATGTATATATGTGGTCACCTGGAGATGGTTCCTCTGTGTTCACTTTTGGGTTTATGAATGTCATCACAAATGCTTAGTGCAACTCAGTGTAAGAGGTTCAATCACTGGATGGAAGGGCTCTATTAGATGGGGCGGGGAGGAGGGAATTCTTGTGACCATCAGCATGATTTTGCGACCTTTTTAGCAACACAGACACCTGGGCCTTATGCCAGATTATTCAACTAAATATAGATGGGTACTAGGAATCTGTAATTTAGAAAGCTCTGGTGAGGGGCTAGGATTGAAAACCAATAATCCAATGGCCTTGTTAGGCCCTCCCTTTACTGAAAGATGCAGTGATCCCAGTTCATCTGTGCTTAGGCAAATAACACTCAGGTGGTTCAGAGTTCATCACTGACTTGGCATACTTCCAGCTGCATAAGTAAACATTATAATCACCTTTGGGCAAAAGCACATTGACCAGACCCTAGATAGGAGAAAATTCACAGGTGCGGATTGATGGTTGGTATTGTATATTGTTTACCATCGTGTCCCTTGGGTTTTAGAATGTGGTATGGACTCCATGAATAAATCTGGTGCATTGGGGATGTAATAGGACCCTGCGCTGAGAACCTTATAGTCTAATGGGGAAAAAAATCAGAGATCCATTTTGAAAACAAAGCAAACAGTGT